CACCTAGAGGATGTACCCATTGTAAATATCCTCTCGGTATTCAGAAGCTAAACTCCCCTCCTTTTGAGACACACACAAAAAGAACGCTTCTGATTAATAATCTCTCACGCGGCACACCGAGGCTGAAGGCCGGGAGCCGCAGGACGCCAAAGAAGGGGGCAGAGCTCTCAATACCTAGAATTTCAATACAGATTCCAAAGACGTGCTAACTGCTAGGTTTCGGAAGGGGAATAATACTTGGCAAGCAGTGCTTTCGGTGAAGACAACCGCCTCCAAATACTGACTCCTTCCTGGGTCGGGGGAGGGGGGCGGTCGCGGTTACCCGGCATTTCTGCGTACAGACGTGCGTACAACATGGTATGTAGCTCATGCATGTGGCCAGGCCCAGGTTTCTTTCTTTTCTTTCTCTTCTTCCTTTTTTTTTTTTCCTTTCTCTTTTCTTTTTCTTTTTTTTTTAAGGCAAGAAATCGAAACCAATCCACTGTTTCTGTGGCTAGCTCCCACGAAGCTGGGATTTCAACCTCTTGTTTATTTTTAAAGCCAGTGTGGCGCCCCGGTTGAATGTCCGGCTCGGGATTTTACCAGGATGGCCCCAGTGCCCAGTCGCTGCCCACAGCACGTGAAAAGAAGAGAAAGGAGGGAGAGTTGGTGGCTTCGAGCCGCTTCCGTCGGGGCCCCGCGTTTCGCCCCAACAGACTCCTCTTCCTTCTTTCCCCGAAGGCGCTCTCTTAGGCCGGCCAGTGTCGCTGCGGTCTTGGCCAGGTGAGAGAGGGGACGGTCCCCGGGGGCAGCGGCCCTCTCTTGGGAGCTCTGGTGGGTCTGTGAACCCGCCGGGCGCGGAAGGCTGAGTGGCTCGGGGGTCCAGCGCTGGGCTCCCGGCTCCGGCCAGCAGGGGAACAGCGACACCTACTGGCCGCGCGGGCACCGAGTCGGGGCCGTCGGGGCGGCCCTGGGCTGGGGGTACCCGGCTGCTTGGACTCTGGAGGCCGCAGGAATCTGCTCCCAAGGCTCGGCCCCGCCCTCTAGGCCTTGCTTACCCCGGGAAAGGCAAAGCCTCCCTTTCTAGAGACCCCTAGGGGGACTGCAGGACGGGCCTGCACACTCGCACGGGCACATACGCCCTCCAGCCCGAGGCTCTTTCTTCTGGGGAACCGAGGGACCCGCAGACACAGTTGGCTACCGTCTCCCGGTTGTAGGAGAGACCCAGCCAGAGGTTGGAGCCCTGGCCTCTCCGGGTTCATGACCCAGGCCTCTTCTCCACCACCCCCATTTCAGTGCTGACTAAAGACGGTATCTTTACAAATTAGGAACCGAGGAGAGTTCATTATCCTCCCTTAAGAAGGGAAATGTACGAGTCAAGGACACAACACGCGCAGTGGCTGGCGCCAGGCGGCCGGCCGAGCCCTCCTGCTAGCTAACCTCGGGCACGTTGAGCGCACCCTCACCGCCGCCGGCGATTGAGATTTGGTCGCTTTTCTTTCAGAATTATGATCTTCTTAATTACACAGGAAGTAAAGGCAAATTTAGGGTGATAGTGATATTTTGAGACCTAAGGGCAGATGACTAGATAGATGATAGATAGATGATAGATAGGGAGAGAGAGATATCCTGCTAAATGTAAATGTGAATGTTTCGATTGTTAGCTTCGGTTGGGAAGGGTGGGAGAGAGTGCCAAGGGAAGGCGAGGCCCGAGGAAAACCTAGCAAGGATGGGGATGAAAAGAAACCAAATCGTGTATTCCAGACTTCCTTTCTCTGCTCAGTCTTTTCTATCAAGGAAATAACTATTTCCTATGCAAAGGAGAAGTAGGTGGTCCCACACTGTGTGGAGGAGGGAGGGCTCTTCTTCCCCAGATGCCTCCGTTTCCAGTGTTGGGTTCTGAGGCTCACCTGAGCCTGAGAAGCCTGAGTGTGATTCAGGTGTTAACTTGCTTAAACATTAAAATATATTCCTTCGCCTAGAAAGATTGCGCTATTTGAACTAATTTGAATCCTTGAGATTTTCCATTTAAATTACTACTCATTTAAAATTCCAGAATTAAAAAAACAAACACTTTTCATTTAAAGTTTGAGTTCATCTTGGAAGTTATTTTCCTTATCTTTAGATACTGGTTGGGACTAGGGTCTAAAGTGTTTTGAGGAAAAGGGGAGGAAGGTCTTGTTAGGGCTAAATTTTTGTCTGCCTTCTCTACAATTACAAAATTTTGCTAATTCTGTTTTGTTTAAATACAATTGGAATCCCTTAGGGACCCTAAAGTCAAGAGTTTTAGATCAAGATTTCTGCTTTAAAAAAAAAATCTCTTAAATGCTTATGAAGGCTGCTCTTCAACTCAGTTTTGCAAGTATTTTTTCTTTTTTATAAAATTTTTCTTCAAGTGTATCTGAATGTGTTCTGATAATATATGAATTCACATCCCAGAGCAGGCCCTTAGCAGTATGTATGATGTATGAATAAATCCATATTACTAATAATGAATAAAACAGAGCTATATTCTAATGACATTCTCTGTCAATGAATCCTGTACCCCACTGAATATCAAAGTCAGCTTTTTCCTGGTACAATGGAAATCTTCATAAAACAGAAAATGATTAAAGAAAAATTAAATTACACTGGGCACACAACAAGCAAGTGTTAATCAAACCCAGTTCAGAGGTGTCTTTGGGTATTGAAAGCACCTTGAAAAATGGAGGGGTTGAAATGTTTTCCTTTCTTAAGAAGCATTCAGTTTCTAGAATGTAGTTTTATTTGTGACTTGAAGATCTTATCTAGAATGGGTTCTTATTGTTGATATTCTTTGGTTTAATTTACTCTAAATATTGTTGATTTAACATTAAAGAAACTAGAAAATAGAATTTAAGTGTCAAAATAGTGGAATTTCTGTATATACCTAATCAACCCCAAAGCATAAGCATGTTAAACCCTAATTAAAGGACTATTTCTCTATTTTGAACAGAAAATTAGGCCAGTGAAATTGTTTCTATTCACAAGAAATATGAATGTATGCATATTATTATATCACATGTAGCATTTTATATAAAGTGGATATATATATAAATATATAAACCATGGATATCCATGAATGTTACAGCGGATTGTTACAGTGTGTGTGTGAAGTAAGGGTGGAGACAAGGCTTCTGATTCTTTTCAGGTCTTCTTTAATATATTTCTCTTTAAATTCCTCTTATTTAGCAAGTAAATTAAGGAATGAAGACAGGCTAAACTGTCATTAGACTGTGTCTATGTTTCTTTGTCACACCTGCCCTCCCTCTGGGCTCACCTTGGAGGGTGTGTGTGTGTGTGTGTGTGTGTGTGTGTGTACTTCCTTTCCTGCTTATTGAGAAGCATGAAGGAAGGAAGGGATGCAAGGATGGGATTATTGATCAGAAAGGCACATCATTGAATGTAAAATGAGATGGAAATATTTGAAACCCTGCTAGATCCCAGCTAGATGGTTATCTGGGGTGGGGGGACTTGTGTGTGGTAGCTAGCAGGCTGATCGCATAAATCACTTGGGAAGCAGGGAGAGGCTCCCAGCGCCTGGAGTGGCCTCCCTTTCAGCTGCGTTGAAACACGCAGAGGCTCAATGACGTTTGGCTTCAGGAAGTAGAGCTCCAAGGACACATGTGTGCATTTGGTTGGAGACAGGTGTGTGTGCGTACGTCTGTGTGAGTGTGTGCGTGTGTGCGCGTAGTGAGGAGTAGGTACTTCATCAAAAATTCATTGAAAAAATATTGACCCTAAAATTCTGCCATATCATCAATTGGAGTCAGGCACCAAGGTCACCAACATGTCCAGGTTCACTCATGGACCGCGGAACATTATTGCTTTTGATGGTACGAATATGGCTTCTTTCATGTCTTTGGTTCTCTATGGTACTTCCTTAGAGTGGGGCGAGGCTCTAGCCTCCCCCTCCTCTCTTTTGGATCCCCGCAAACAAAACCATTCTACCACTTGAGCCGTCTGCCGCAGGTGTAATGGATGGCAGGGGGCCGACCTAACCACACTTCAGTCTCTTCTAGGTCGTCCCCGCTCTGCACCAAACAAATGAGTCCTGTTTCGCCACTAGGGTGCCGAGGTGGATGGTGGATGCCGGCCCCCGCCCCTGGCAGCGTTCAGCGCTTAGAAACCAGAGCCAGCTGACAACACACGAAACACACAGGCACAGAGAAAACGCCGAGCCAACGCGCGCTCCCTCTGCCCCCTCCCTCTGCTCTCTGTACACATGGAGGACACGTACACAGCCTTTACACATTTAAAAGCCCTCGCGACTTCCTCTGAATTCTTGGTTACTTATGACGGCCTTTCCCACTGCATATTGCCCCTGGTGTGTGTGTGTGTGTGTGTGTGTGTGCGCGCGCGCGCGCGCGCGAATGTGCGTGTGTGTTTAAAACGCTTATTGGTAGGTCATCAGCAGCTGATCAGACATAGTAATCCAATAATCTTTTTGAATGCATACAATTTTTCGTTCAAGGTAATTTTTTAAAAACATAAAAAAGGAAATCTGTCTATTTCCTGTGCAAGTCTTGGGTTCCCAGTTTAGGTTCCAGGGAACCGCAGAGCTGCGCAGCACCCTCCTTGCGAAACTTTCCCTTTCCAAGATTTGAGCGAGGCGCAAATTTCCACTTAATGACAGAGCAGGGGCTGATTTGCACGCTAGTGTGTGAAAGAAGGGAGCTTGGGGACGCTCAGCATAGGGAAAGAAATCGGGTAGCGGGAACCCCCTGTCCTGTAGTAGCTTGGAACCCTGGCGGGACGCACAGGGTGCCCCAGGACAGGAGCCGGAAGTCCAACCTTCCCAGGCGCAAAGCACCCTTTTGACCCTGGCCCTCTGATCGGATCCCTGCCGGCCGCACCTCACCCCGCCCGCCTGCTGGCACCCCACCCCCATTTTATCCTCATTTGAGTAGCCCCAGGTAATGGTGTCCATCTCCCGGGCCTGGGCTATGGCCAGAGGCTGGACCACGCCAGGAATCGAACTCCGCGGTCCCCAGAGTACTTACCTCGAGTAAGGCCCTGGCAAATGGTGGCCCTGAAGCGTCAAGTTTCCTCTCCCAGCCGTTGTGCCAGATTCTCCTTCTGCCTGCTGCTCGTCTCGGCGGACTCTCTCTCTCTCTCTCTCTCTCTCTCTCTCTCTCGCTCTCTCCCTCTCTCTCCCCTCTGTCACACACGAGGATTACTTGTGACTTTTAGAGGCAAAAGCTTGCTTATTCAGAGACGCGAGGGAGGGGAGACGGAAGGGAGGCGGGAGGGAGGAGAGAGAGGGGGAGACAGAAGTAGAAGGGGGATGGAGGATGTAGAGGAGGTGGAGAATCAGAGGTAGTGAAGGCGTAGGTAGAGGAGGAGGAGGGAGGGGAGGGGTAGGGTGGAGTAACCGAAGACGGTCTGGGATGGGACGGCGAGGAATACATTGCTCCCCACCCAGCTGCAGTGTGACGCCCCCAGCGTCCCGGGGGAGCAGGTGCGTCAGATCGCGGCTGGCTCAGGCGGGGCGATACAAAAGCGCCGCGGGACCCCCTTCGCGGGCTTCTATCCCGCCAGAGCGAGCGCCGGAGGCCGCTCCACACTCGAGCTCGGACCGCGGAAGGCTCTCCTCCGCCCTGACGGAGGTGGCTGTCTAGGGGCTCCAAGCTCCACGGAACTTAGATTTCATTCCTGGGCTCCTGGCCACCCTCGCCCGCGTCTCAGACAAGAGCTGAAAGTCCGCGTAGCCCTCGTGCGTCCTCGCCCTAACTGCCGGCGCCCACCTTAGCCACAGCCCCTGGGCCGGGCGCCGCTCACCCGGGCGGCTGCCACTCTGCCCGGGCTCAGTCAGCCTCAGCCCTGTGTCTCTGTTCACATTTGGGGCTCCCCCTCAGCTTGTTATTACGGAGGTGTGTGTGTGTGTGCGTGTGCGTGTGCGTGTGTATCTGTGTGTGTGTGCGCGCGCGCACAGCGCGCAAGCTCCAGGCTAGAAAGAAGGTGAAATCCCGGCACGAAAAAGTAGCTTCGGTCTCCCGCAGCTTGGAGCCCGCGACCTAGTCCGATTATATCCAGTATATGAGATTACAGTCTGCAGCAAGGACCAAGGCGGGAGCTCACCGGATCATTTCAACTGAGTTTCTATACAGCAAGGATTGCTTATAATTATTATTATTAAATAAGAAAATAGGTTTTAAAATATAAAGAATAGTTGCAGAGACAGAAGGGGGTCATTTCTGGTCATGAATGAACCAAAAGTGGTTGAAAAAAATTTTTTTTGGACAGGACCATCCATGATGCATAAAGGTGGAAGCCAATTCATTACGTGATGGGATTAAAAATTAGGAGCGTGCTTTTCGACATAGATGACCCATTAGTTCTCTGTTAACTGCATTAAGCCAGCCCCATGGAACGATTACATGGCCGCCTTCTATGTGCAAACACGGGGATACTACAGAGGGTGCGCACAAGCGTTTATAGAACTCTGTGTACACACACACATACACACATACACATTTATAAAGAGAAAAACTTCGAACATCAGCACCTAAACTCATAAATACGTATATTTTCTCAAACAACTATCCCTTAAATACGGTAATTTTCCTGTCTTTCCTTGCTGACCTATAGATGCAATATTATAGTTATACTGTAGGCTACTCGGATCGACATAATTCTGCTTACATTTATCGTGGGTGACACGTCATAAAATGCCAGAGGGGGAGAGGAAACCATGAGGGGAGGGGAGATGGCTTTTATTAACAATTATATTCTCCCCTAGCTGTTTAAATAATAGCAATGATGTCACGGTAACCATCCTCCTTCTCCCACTCCAGTGAAACTACTGGATGGTTTGGTGAACAATGCATTGTATATTTTGGTTAAGGGATTATTATTGCTATAGAGTTATATAGAGCCATCCTGTGGCATAAAAAAAAATCTCTGAACATTAAATTATTGGAACATTTGGCGTGTTTTAGAACCCGTTTACCTGTCACATCTTGTTCCAGAATAAGGATTATAAAACGTTGTGCCCACCATAGTTTTGAAGGAAAATGAAACAAACGAAGTTGTTCTTTAAAAATTGTTAGTCATGGGCAAATAAAAATATTTCCCGTCATCAAAACGAGCTGGTGGGCAATCTGTTAGACAAGGATCATATTTTACTAATCCGAAATGGAGTTTAAAAAATTCTTTAGGAAAGCGGCGATAGGAGGGGAAGTAAGAAACACGCAGCCCCTAGCCCAGCCTGCACTCAGGGGTCGCTGGGCCAGGAACGCACGCTCGCGCACAGCGGTATCCCAGCCCTCGCGCACCCGCGCGGTTTGGGGCTCGGTTTCTGAGAATGAGTGCAATCTCCGTGGATCAGCCACCCGTTTAGAAATGGGTATTTGTATAAGGGCAACGTTCAGGCTATAGTACAATGGCATGATAGAGATAGAACTCATTTTTTAAAAATCATTTAACAATTGCTTAATAATTAAACTGCTCTGCTATTGAATACCATTTTGGCTCTTTCTTTGAAATTATCAGCCACAGTTTGCTTCTGAGACCTTAGGATTGAGTTTCTGGCAGAGGGGGTGAGGCTCAACAAGGCACAGCTTTGAGGTACAGAACAATTAATGTGAAAGAAAGTAATTGATTATCTAATAGATAAAGGAGGAAAAAAGAAACTTTGGGTCACATTTAAATGGGTTTACCAGTTTGCAAAAACTTTTCTTTTTGTAGTTTAAACAGCGAACTTTATAAATTCCATTCCATTTCTTATTCTTTTAAATCATCTACAACCTCGGAGATTTTATCTTTCTTGCTAGCAAAATGCCCCCAAAGGCTTGAATTAGATGCCAAGCAGCCCCAACGATGTCTGGCCTGCCCCTTTTGAAGGTTTGGGACCCTTTATGAGGACTCAAGAAAAACCCCAAATCTGAAACTGGTTCGGCGATGACTGCACTGAGTTTAATTTATCAGTCTTTTAAGCACCGCGTGATCAGACTGGAAACGTAACTTGAAAACACAACCTGATTCTGGGCAAAATCATTTTGCCCTTTTGGCATGAAAACATTGTTTTATCTCCAAGTTCCGCCCAGAAGCAGACGGCTGCATGTCAGGGCTGGTCCCCACCCGGATCAGGACAGGACCTTCAGCTGGCAGATGTGATCCAGCAAATGGGATTCATGAAAAAATTCTTGTGCATTAAAAAAAAGGGGGGGGGTTTAAGGAGGTGCTGCTTCCTGATTCTTTTTGCTGAGAGCTCCTGTGATAACAATCAGTGGTGATCACAGCATCAAAGAAAGCAAGCATTCACTACTAAACAGTTTTGAACATGATGTATTTAATGGGGCTAGTTTAAACTTTGTTTTTAAAATTCTCCTGCAGATATTACTCTTCTCCCTGATTATCTTTTAATAGATTTTCTAAAATCTCATTTATAGGTAGTCACTGCTGGGGTCCTGCTACAATTAACAACACAGAGATACAGGGGCACTTTGGGGCCATGTAAATATCAGTGTAAAGGGTCTGTCCGCTTTACCTGGTAGCTTTATCTAATAAATGGGAGCTACTCCAGAGAAAGAGACATATCTTCATTTCTGGAGTTGCAACTCGAGTCTTTATGAATGTGAGTTTCTGGCTGAACGCATCAGTCAGGAATTAAGGAGTTGGGACACTTATCCCAACTCCCCTGTAAATCTCCTGTAAATAACCACTTGGACGCCCAGCCTCTTCACATTTGCTGTCACAACTCTCCAAGCCTTTGTTTTTAACCTTCTTATCACTTTTAATATGAATCAGTGCTGTCGGGACTAAACACACAGATTCAAGTTTAGCCTTAGAGTTGGTCACTTAAACATTCCTCATTTTATCATCCAAAATTAAGCCCACTCCCCAAAATTGAGCATTTGGCTTTTAAGTCTCAAACCTTTCCTTAGGTCTCTAAGGGTTCAGACCAGCCCTTAGCATCGAATTCCATGAAGGCAACTACTTGGTGTCCACAAGTAAACTTAAGGCTTGGGGAGGGAGATGCCACCCATCCTAAATTTTCTTTCGTTTCTGTCTAATAAAATGGAGGCGGACTGTACTAAACTCCCTCTACAGCTTACCAAAATTGGTAAAATGTTTTTTAAAACTCTGAGCAAGAGTCCCATGGTCTTGTATCTTAGAAAGGGTCCCGAACTGGCTCTTTCTGGATGATTTTTAGAGACCTGTGCCGGCGGAAGCGGCTCTCAGGCAAAACTACCCAGATAAAGGCGGAGCTCCCTGTTGCCTGCCAAGGTATTTTACCTAGAATCTTCTGATTTTGCGTCCTAATTCACACTCAGCCACACTTGCAAGGGGATTGGTAGGCTAATAAAAGTCGAATAGTCGTGGGGTGGAACCCCACTGTTTCTACACGAAGGACTTTGGCCACAAAACAGAGAGCGAGCGGGAGCAACCAGCCCCACGCCCCTTGCGCCTGGACTTCAGGCCACGCGAAGCTGCGGCGGGCGACTTCAGGTGAGCGCCTAGGGAAGGGGGCGCTGGAGGCTCGTCCCAGCCCCCAGGCCGGCCTCGGGTCCCTCTCCGGGAGCGCCTTGACCTGGACCGCCATTCCTTTTGGTCTTTTCCTGCAAAAAAAACACCTGCTGCCGCGGATCAAGTACACCTGATACCAGCCGTAGTCAACAGAAAAAGGAAAAGAGAAAACTCCACCCTCCTTAATTCCGTTTGGTTAGAGTCCGGGCTGCCAAATCCATTACATAATGCCAGCTCAAGCTGACACCTGTGCGGTGCTGGAGCTAGATCCAGTGCTGGCAGCCTCGGGCCTGGAACTGGGGTTCGGCAGCGCCCCGGCCAGAGGCCAAGGGGAAGAGGAACGAATTTCAGGCTGGAGGGCGGCGCCTCGGTCTGGGGGAAAGGTGGGGGCCGGATCCTGGAGGGGAGCCTTCAAGGGTGGCTCCCCAGTACATCCGGGGCGCGAAAAAGGCAAAGCCGCGGTTTTGAGGATCCCGAGTCCTCAGAGGACATCCGACGCCCCTTGCTGCTCCAGGCTAGGGTGGGCTCCCTGGGGCGCCCCCTCCAGCCTCATTAGACGCGGGCTACTCACCTGCTGTGGGGCCCTCACTCGCGGCCCGCTCTCGCCTCCTGGGTACTATTCATGCCCATCTTGGAGGTACTCAAGGCGGGGCCTGATGGGATACCAGTTTACCCTGAAGACGGACGGTGGCTTCATTAATCGGCCATCACTAAACCAACCCAAGAGAAACCCTATCCGGCAATGAGGGCGCGTCGGTATCTTTTACCTATAGATGAGCAGTTGGGGCAAACGGTGGTTAAAGCACTGAATCCTGGCTCCCAAAGACCTGACTGTCCAGATCTTTGGGGTCTGCACCAATGCCTCCGTGAAAAAAGATGAGTCCCCAAACTGCTAGGATATCCACAATCCTCCTCCCCAAACCTCCTGCTCCCCAGCTAAGGCAAAAGACCTCGGACCGTGTAAACTCCTCTGTCAGAACTTGTATTAATGTTTCCGAGAGTTTTCTACAAAAGAATTACAAGCTCCTCAGGTGACGCTTCCACCCACCAGGACACAGTGTCAAAGGAATTTGTCGTGGCGGTTTATAAATATCAAGAACTTGGATACTGCTATTGGAATAAACCCGGGCTTCCTTTCATACCGTTCTTAGGGATTTAGTTGAGCCCCTGGGGACATGACTCAAGTCTCCCTAGTTCATAGTGGAAAATGCTTTTTGGGCTTTGGTTGGGGTGGGGGGGAAGCTAGACCTCAAGTTCCGTGTGGATCTTTCAAAAACAAAAACAAAACCACGCTCACTCAGCAAAAAGCAGGGACCTTCCCTGGACATCGGCAGGCTCCCCCTCCCTAGCGGGTTAAAATCACCAGGATCGACTGATTTCCTTGCGTCCTTCTCAATGTCCCCCATCCCCACTTCCCCAGACAGAATCAATAGGCATGAGAAACGTCGTCGTTTCTGTTTCTTTCCTCTACCGATTTCAAAGACATCTGGACATTTTTTTTTTTGGTACTCTACACCCTAAATAAATATTCCTTTACATTCGTGTGCCCCTAAGACGGTGTAGACATGGGCCCCTCCCCCCGGTGGCTACCGAGTTGGAGAAATCTGCCCAGAGGATCAGTGGGCTGGAGGGGCAAGAACAGGCGCTGCCCAGCCTCCAATAGCTGGCGCGCAGAGCCGGTCCCGCCGAGCCTGCGCTTGCGGAGAACGCTATCTTCACAGTAATTTAGCAATTCCCACCGAACAAAAGTTAAAGCGTGATGGCACTATACCTTGGCCCGGGTTACTCAGGCGCCTGTCTCCCATTTTGGACATGCTGGAAGTGTTGGGTTTGGGGAGGTTTGCTTTGGCTGGGTTTGGATTGCCTATATAAGCCCTGCTGGAGTACCGTACCGAGGAACTCGCCTTGATGGACTCGGGTGTTAATTAACGCGCGGCTAATTTGAGCTGGAGGAGCGGGAGGCGGCCGGCCGCGCTGCGAGCCGCGAGGGGCCAGTGCCCTCTAGTGGACACGAGGGGATATGCAGCTCGGGCGAGTCTGCCCGTGGGGCTCGGTAGCCGAGAAAACTTCTGCCTGCGTGGATGCCTGGTGTCTCCTCGGAATCCAGCGACGAGAAGTGACATTAGTCCCCATATTAAGGGAGAAAAGTCCCTCAGCAAGTGATGTCGAGCGAGGGCCTTAGCTCTTCTGGTGTATCTGAAATCTAAACCAAACGCGGTTAAAAACGCGCGCGCGCGCGCGCGCGCACACACACACACACACACACACACACAGAGTTATTTACCGTTCTTTTCGGCAGCGGAGGGAGAGCCTATGGAAGGGGTTTGAGAAATGGGCTCCAAGAACTTTGGTGAGGAAAGCAGGGCTTTCAAAGCTTCGGGGGTCTTCAGCCAGTCAGGGAAAGGAGTCAGAATGTGCTTCTGTAAACAAAGTTCATCAGTACTCCTATCACCTATTTCTGCTTTCAAGAATAAAAATAAATAACGAAGACGCTTAGTTGGCTCAACAAGAGGAAAGCAAGAGAACAAATGATGTGTTGAACAGCCCATATGCCTCTGAGTTTACACCCTTCAGGCAAATAAGACAACACCACAGAAAAACTAATAACAATAACACATAAGAGCCTTTTCGCATAATAAAAACAAAGAAAAAGGCCAGGAGGATAAAATGACCTGTAACCCCCCCACCCCCTTCATTTATTTTATCAGTTACTAAACTAGTGCAGAAGTTGTTTTGGAAAAGATGGTCCCCGCGCTGCGTGCGTCAAAAGCAAAACGTGGGCCTTGGTAATTCAGACCGAACGTCCCTTTTCTGAATAAATGGAAGTCTGTATTTTCTCTTTCCCCATTCCGAGCACACCTCAGCAGAACACAGGAGCTGGAGAGGCCCCAATAAAATCCCACCGCCTCTGAGCTCGGAG